AGTTAACAATAAAAAGACATCGGCCAAACCAAAAAAAAAAGAACGAATTAAATAGTAAATGCCTACCCGGAGCCTTGAATTCAGTCGGGATATCAAAAATACCTCCCGTAGTGGAAAGTCAATCCCCACTAATAAAAAACCACTCACTTTTTCAGTTTTTGACAGAGAAGCTTTGTTGGAGGTCTTTCGCTTTCCAGCACTCTCTGATTCCACTAAGGGTTTCTTCTCTTTCCTCTTCGATAAACAAAAGTACAGGTTTTCCGGAGGAGGAACAACCTGCAGAAGTCTCCACGATTAAGCCTCTCTCACCGCCTGTATTGACAGGCTATATTACATGCAAACAATAGATCCCACCCATTGGGGACCAGCTGGGCGAGAGTTAAGCAAACGTCACTCAAACAATAGTAATATTTGAATTTATCTTGATATTCCTTGACCAGCCACAGTTAATAAGGTACCATCTGTTGTAGAAATTTTCTTGTTGCTCGGACAAAGACTATAAGAGATAAAATGACAGCTACTATTTGTCATATGGTCAGTTGCACCAGAATCAATAATCCAGGTTCCATGTTTAGGTTAGGTTTAGAAGTTGTACCTGTCAAAGTTACCAACATATACCTTGACTAGGAGCATTATCCAAAGTTTCTAAAAAGCTCTTTAGTTTTTTTATCTCATATTTATCCAATTCTTTGGTAATCTTGGTGGATTGCGACATTGATGCTAATAAAGAGACTAAACAGCCGCTTAAAAAAAATGAAAACCCACAATAACGAAGGAAAGAATAGAGAACAGCACTAAAACCGGTCTGAACTGAGACGGGATGCACTTAATCAAGCTGCAATAAAGCTGAATCGGGTTTGAACCAAGTTGAACCGGATGAACCAAATTAAATCTAACTGAACCGGACCGAAAACCGTTAGTGAACCGGACCGAAGTAAACCTAGTTGTACTGAATCGAAAAAAAATGCGAACCAAATCAAACCGAACGAGATCTGAACCAGACCAACACTTATGTTTGAAATCCACGAAAATTAGGGCTTCATATTATGAACTGCAAACCATGTCGCACACCTAAAATTGTACACGGACGGTTGCAGTGACAGCGTCACGCGATTCCGACGACAGAGCAATCAGTGGCGAATCACGACGTGGTGAAGGATCGACGACTTCTGAATGTGTCGCCGGAACAGTGGCGGTGAGATAGAGAACTAATGGGCTCAACGGCAGCGAGGTAGCATGGACTCGACGGTGGTGAACTTGATGCTGCGGCGTGTCACAATCGCACCTTTTTAAAGCAGCTCGAGCGATTGTGCGGCACTTGCTCTAGCTCAAACGAGCAAGTCAGCCGGGAAAAAATGTAAGTTGCGGACAATCTCGGTCGTGGGTCTAGCCTCCGCTCACGTTTTAGGAGAAAATTGGTTTTAGAAAGCGTGAGAGAGAAAAACAGTTGAAAACATCTTTAAAACAAGCATTGTAGACGTTGGATGCAAGAAAGCTTTGATTGCAAGAAAGTATACAACACTTGGTCGGGGGGAGGTTTGATGACTACTTGGTCCCCCCTAAGGTACATTATAAGGCATTTTTGGTGTGGCAGGTGTAGACGTCCTAAGTGGCGAGGAGTCACTCGGTGGCCTACAGGGCCCGTGTGAACTCCGATTGG